CTCTGCATATCTTAGGTTGTTGATATTTCTCCCTGCAATCTTAATTCCAACTTTTGATTCATCTAGCCCTGGGAATTCTGGGAGTTGAAGTCCACAAGTCATAAAAGGGCCAGGTTTGAAGACCCCTGGTCTAATTCAGCAATTTTCATCTCCTTTCATTAGATCTGTATATGCCTTAAAGCTCCCAGTCCGCAATCCAGCGGGAACGGGCCGCACAAGTGGCGCGTGAAAAATCATCCCCTCTCCCTCCCCTGCCTCAAAAGTCGGGGACTGCTGCCTTAAAGTGCTATGCACCATGAGTATTCAAGAAAGGGGAGATGTTATTATACAATGTCTCCACTCACACATAAACACATAGAGAAACTCTGGACTAATGTATCCACCATACCTTCTTGACAAAATTTCTCTCATTGGATGAAGAAGTTGCCAAGGCTTTTGAGGCCAGATCACCCAAATTCAAATAGCAAAGATCAGGGATAGGCCACCTTGGCTCTTTTATGACTCGTGGACTTCAACTCCCAGAATCCCTGAGCCAGCATGGCTCAGCTTGGAAACCTCTCCCTTTCCCCTCAGCATGGCTGGCTCAGGAATTCTGGGAGTTGAAGTCCACGAGTCATAAAAGAGCCAAGGTTGCCCACCCCTGGCATAGATGGTTCTTGACTTGCAACCATTCATTTAGCGACGGCAATGAAAAACCAATCTTCAATTACCCTTACAGCATCCCCATGGTAGGTGATCAAAATCTGGACACTTAGCAGCTCGCAAGAATTGGCATCAATTGCAGCATCCCTGGGCCACATAATTGCCATTTGCAAACTTCCCAATTAGCTTTCAACAAGCGAAGTCAACGGGAAAAGCCAGATTTGTTAAATGGCATGATTCATTTAACCATCGCAGTGATTTGTTTAACAACTGTGGCAAAAAAAATTTGTAAAATCCGTTGCGACTCACATAGCAACAATAACAACCGCCTTGCTAAGATACAGCAATTCTGGAAACAATTGATGGCATAAGTCAAGGACCATTCTTTCTTTTCTCTGAGAACATTTTTACATTTTTTCCCTCTGATTTTTTTTTTTTTTTTTTTGGCAACTTGAGGTGTTACACTTATTTGGGTTATTCTTCTTTCCAATTTTGGTTGAAGTGTGACGATAACATTTAAACAAAACTCGCCCTGCATTTAGTATATTGTTTGTTAAGCACACCCACCTATTCCAGAAACCAGCATTATTCTCATAGTTCTGAGGCACTATGTTGGATAGATAAAATGTTTCTGCCATGGCTTCCTATTTTAAAAAAAAAATAAGAAAACATTGAGGTTCTGATGGGTGCCTACGTTAGTTAAGAACTCAGAATGAAACGTCATATTAACAGAATTAAGTCAGACATCAAAGCAGAGATTGTGTTCGGTAAAATATAAATAGACTGATCTATAATTCTTACATCAGTCAGCATTACAGTGCAAGGCTAGATCCTTCGAATTCTCTCTGTTGTTTTTTTTAATCAACTTGCTTCCCTTCCTTAAACACCTAGGTACAAAATTGCAGAGATTCCATAAGATTCACATAATGGTTTGGCTGTTCTGTATTATGGATTATGGAATTATGGATTCCAACGTTAAGCATTTTTATTTATTTATATCCTATCTATATTGATTTTTACAAATAACTCAAGGTGGTGAACATATGCAACATACGTTCCCCCCCCCATTTTCTCTGTAACAACTCTGTGAGGTGAGTTGGGATGAGAGAGGGGGACTGGCCCTCTCTAATCCAGCTGGTTTTCATGGATAAGGCAGGACTAGAACTCACAGTCTCCTGGTGATTAGTCCAAAGTCACCCAGCTGGCTTTAATGCCTATGGCACCATTAAAACTTATTGTCTCCTAGTGATTGCCCCAAAGTCACCCAGCTGGCTTTCATTCCTAAGGCAGGACTAGAACTCATCGCCTCCTAGTGCCTGGCCCAAAGTTATCCAGCTGGCTTTCATGCCCAATGTGGGACTAGACCTCATTGTCTCCTAGTGACTGGCCCAAAGTCATCCAGCTGGCTTTCATGCCAAAGGCAGCACTAGAACACATCACCTCCTAGTGACCAGCATAAAGTCACCCAGCTGGCTTTCATGGATTAAGATGGGACTTGAACTCAGAGTCTCCTGCTTTCTTGCTTGGTTCCTTAATTACTAGATCAAACTGGGTGTCTTTGCATTCCCTTTTTGTAAAAGGAAAAAAAAACCCCCAATTTTTGAACTTTGCATTTTCTCATGCAAAAAAGATTGCATATTTTTACGTGCCATCTTGTTTAGTTGAAAATGGCGTAGTGTGAATTGTTTTTAACATCCCATCCTTTCCCCTTCAAAGAAACAAGGGATCAAACTATATTGAGCAATCCTACCAGTGAATATTTGTTGTCCCCTGCTGGTGCCATATGACCTCGTGACCAGCCACTGCCGATGTAATCTTCATTCACAGCACTGAACACTGAAGGGATGTTTGGATCTGCTTTAAATTTGCAGTGTTTTCTGTCTGCACTGCCTGTGGTACAAGATACCAAACAATTCGATTACATTTCCTTTTTCAAAAAATAGTTCTGTGCTGAAAGCAACTTAACACAATTGCCATTAAAAAAAAAAAGATATCTAGAGCAGACTTTAAGTGGTTGCATGGCCTCCTTACTACTGTGAGCAGAAAATGTCCCCCCAGCATTCCCATACAGGCAGTCCTCAACATATTGTATGACCACAATTGAGCCCAAAATTTCCGTTGCTAAGTGAGACCAGTTGATAATTTCACTTTCTTGCCACAGTTGTTAAGTAAATCACCGTGGTTTTTCAGTTAGTTACACAGTTGCTAAGTAAATCTGGCTTCCCCATTGACTTAATAATAATAATAATAATAATAATAATATCCCCAACCGTCATAAATATGAGCCTGCTGCCAAGGGTCCAAATTTTGATCCTGTGACTATAAGAATGCTACAATGGTCGTGTGAAAAATGGTCACAAGTCACTTTTTTTCCAATGCAACTGTAACTTTGAACGGTCACTAAACAAATGGTGGTAAGTCAAGGGCTACCTGTATAAAGTTCTGTTGTAGACAAGATGATCTGGCAGAATGCCGTGTGCCCCGCCATTGATTTTAATCACTGAGAAACCAGATATCACTTTATATTATCTTTTTTTTTCCAAATTTTTTTTTTATGAATTTTGAAATATCCCCCCCCCGCTTACAAATATAAACATACATTAATACAACTTTAGTATTATAAATTTTACAAGCATAAACGTTAATATTGCAAAACAGCCCGGCAACCCCCCCTCCCCGCGTCCGCCCTCTTTCCTGCTCCTTCAACCTCCCGACACATCCCACCTCCTTCCCTCTCCTCTTCCTACGGACACGGTTTAGGGGCGCTAACCGAGCATCAGCTCGGCAGCACCCCCTCCCCGCATCCGCCCTCTTTTCCACTACCTACCTACTTCCCTCCTATCTCTCCTCTCCTCTTCCTCTCCCTCCCTTCGGACACGGTTTAGGGGTGCTAACCGAGCGCCTTCTATAATTCTCCATACATCAATCCTAATTTAATACTCATTTCTACATTAATGCTCAAAATTATTTTATTTCTATTTCTACCCTCCCTCTCCCCACCCCCCCCGGACTTCCCAGAACTGATTACAGGGTTAAACACACATCATCCCAAGTCTAAATATTACTACCCAAATATAAAGCAATCAAGTATAAACATACTTTAACTCAAATAAAAACAATCAAATATAAGCATATAAACATATAAACTCTAAGCATATAATCTATCCTTCCCCAAACCCAAATATCTTAAAGTTAATCTTTGCCATTTCTGCAAAATAAAAAACAACCAATAATCTTGCTGCTATACATTTCTTAATTCAAATCTTCCGTGATCCCCAATAAAAATAATTACAAAGTAAACTGTATCTATCACTTAAAAACCTATTAAATTTTCCACTAAATCTTAGTCCAGAAAATTACATATCCCTTCATGTCCACCAAATATAATGGTAAATTACAAATTATTTCCCATGTATCCAATAAAATTCTTAAATATTTTGAGCCCATTTAATCATACAATCTTTAGTTTTATAAATTCTTCTTATATGAGCTCTACCTCAATCTTTAGTCTCAAATACTTTCAGTCCTTTAAAATAATATAAATTTCTTCAAGTAATAAAATATTCTCTTTCTTTTTTATGGTAAATTCTGATAACATATCCCCAAGTCAACAAACATTTCTCAAATATTTTGAACCCATTTGATCATACAGTCTTTAGCTAATTTTATAAATTCTCCTTGTATAAACTCTACTTCAGTCTTTCCGAATAGATAGAAACTCTATTTCAATCTTTCATAATAAATAGTTCCTTATAAGAAACCTCCAATATTCAAATACTTTCAGTAAATTTCTTACAGACTCACCACCTCATTTTTATATTATTTCAAATAATAAAGTATTCTCTTTCTTTCTTTTCTTTTTTTTCTATAACAAGCTCAAACCATTAGTGTTCCAAGTCAAAAATGTTAAAAATAAAAAACTTCCAAAACTGTCCTTATGAATCTGTCCTCCCGGATCTCTTCAATCTCGCCCCTTCCGCCGGCTCTGAAACGGACGAGTATATTACAATTGAAATCCTTTTTGCTACTCTTTCTCCTTTCATTTATATGCATTCTTTGTTCAAACATTCCTTCAAAACCGATAAGTAATAATCCTTTCCCTTTTGGATTATATTCAGTCTGTAACGTATCCGAGATCTCCACTGATTTTCATTGTAGCAAGATTTTCTGGAAAAACAAACAGCAACATCTCTAGGCAGATTTCTCTGACGTGCGGCCCCTAAGTAAACTCTATAAACTTTTTCTCTCAAAATTTCTTCAGGGTCGCACGCCAAAACCACAACCTGATCTGTCGCAGCTTCCTCTCTCAGCTTTTCCTGCATATCATTCGATCCTCTTCTCAAAGCAAACTCCATGTCTCCATATTGTAACATGTCATTCTGAGCCAATTCCACAATGTCTTCTGCTTTTACAAGTCTGTCCTCCATCCCTTCAGCATTTTCATGCGCCCGTCGCTCTATACAATCTGTATGAAAAACAGATGCTATATTTTCTTGTACTATCTGCATCATCCTGTACGTCTTTAAGTGTAATTGACGGGTGAAGTGAAAGTAAAGATATTTTAAATTTAGACTATTGTGGAGTTTAAATAACTAAAAATAAAATCACAGCTTTGAGAAAAGCAGAGATTCCAGTGCCTTTTAAGCCATTTTCAAAACTTCATTATATAGAATAAAAGAGAAACTTATAAAATAAAAGAGAAAACTTATACTTTCAATAAACTAAAAAAGTCTTTACAATGTATCTCTGTCCATTCAGTAACCGGAAGAAAAGTGAAAGTTTTTCTTAGCAACGCCTTCTAGTACAAAGAAACGGCAATTCCGCAGCCATTTTCTTCTTACATAAATTTTAGAAAATAAGGAAGATGCTTTAATATTCTCTGAGTTAAAGTCATAAGTCATCTAAGATCCAATCCTCCTGATCAGTTCCGTCTGCTTGTAAATTTATTCACGCAGAAATCTTTAAATAGCAGAAGTGGAAGCTGCAACTGGCTTTGCTCTTCCGGAAAAGGAACAAAGGCACCATGGGGTGCAGAGAAAAGCCCAGACTCCGAGAGAGCTCTCACCTGTCATCCCCCCATAGAAAAAAAGGGGGGAGAGAGGGAGCTCTATCCGGGCAAACTCACCTCTCCCTCTTCGCCCGAGGGACGAGGTTCCAAGCAGAGAAGCAGCTGATGATCGCTGCTTCTTGCCGGCTCTGACGCAGCCCCAGGCGGACAGCTAGAAAAAGCCGCCATCCCCCGCAGCAGTCTCCACCGGAAGTGACTTTATATTATCTATAACTGTTTAAATACCTGAAGTTTTATATTTGGAAATATGTTCAATCACCCATCTAGGTACTCGTTTCGCCTGATCATAAGAGAGAGCATGATTGGTATAACATCTGATTTGAGTTCCAGCTGCAGGAAATCCGTATCTTTCCAATACAGGTTTTGGTCCAGGTTCTAAGAGAGAAAGAAAAAGAACTTTTTTTTTAAACAAAGGCATAGAAAAATCACATCATATATTAAAAATCAGAGCTACATTTTTACAAATCATTATACAGTGTCACATAATCTTTTAAATTTCTATTTTTATTGCATGAAAAAGAAAGGAACTCCCTTTTACGACCCTGTAATCCCGTAATTCGGGGTAGAATCGGGGTGACTGGATGAAGCTGAGCATTTACTGGCTGGATGCCCTTTCTGACACCTATGCAGAGTTCACAGCAGGTATTTTTTCTTTGCACCCTAGGAGAGAAATATCTACCGCTACCCAGGATTGAACTCTCAACCTTCTGAGTGAGAGGCAAGCATCTTCACCACTAATGAAAAAGAAAGGAACAAAACCTACAAAATATATATTACATTTTAAAAAATTAATCTGGTGCATACATTCATTTCATATTATACAATTAATTTATGGGCATTTAGGTCAATGGGTGAGAAATTATAAATTGTCAAATTGAGCCCAAAGTTTCTGTTGCTAAGCAGGACAGTTGTTAAATGAGTTTTGCCACAACTTATAACCTTTCCTGCCACAGTTGTTAAGTAAATTACTGTACTTGTTAAGGCAGCAACACAATTGCAATGATCGTTAAGTGTGAAAAATGGTCATAAGTCACTTTTTTTCAATGCTGCTGTAACTTCAAACGGTCATTGAATAATCCTCCAAACAAGATAAGGAAAGAGCCCATTTGGACTAGTGGTTAAGGCATCAGGCAAGAAAGCAGGAGACTGTGAATTCTAGTCTTATCTTAGCCAAGAAAGCCAGTTGGGTGACTTTGGGCCAATTACCAGGAGACTGTGAATTCTAGTCTTACCTTTATTTATTTATTTATTTATTTATTTTATTTATTTATTAAATTTATATCCCGCCCTTCTCCTTACGGACTCAGGGCGGCTGACAATCGATTAAAAATACACCAAGACAATTACAGAATTAAAATTAATTAAAAAGAAATATTTAAATATAGTCGAATTAAAATATGATTAAAACCCCTCTAAAAATTGCCCTAGGCCAGTCCCGCTTGTTGGAATAGCCATGTCTTAAGGGCGCGGCGGAAGGAAGGGAGATCAGGGATCACCCTGATCTCTGGGGGCAGCTCATTCCAGAGGGTGGGAGCTCC